CATGTTCAAATAACAAGTTGAAAAAACTTCCCAATTGCAAAGCTGTAACAGTTCAGATATCATGCTCTTCTGGTTAGGACATCACATTCGACATGTTGAAACTACAGGTTGAAATATTTTCCAAACTGCAAAACTGTAACAGACCATATGTCATATACTTCTGATTAGGACATCACACTCGACATGTTGAATCTGTAACTTGAAACATCTTGTTCAACATGTTGCTGCAAAGTTAGTTTTACCAAAATTTATATCAATCATAATTTCAGAGAAATAACAAGATTAAAATCATACCTAAGTGGTGAGGTTGATAAAAGCGTCATTATCATTCCATTGGATACCCTTGGAAGAAAAAATAGGTGTCAAACTAATGACATTAAAACACACTTATTAGGAGGAAGCCCAATCTTCTTTCTATAATTCATATGTTTTATGTATGTTACTATAAAATTCCACGAACAATAGGAATTGGACATGTTGGTCATTTTGTACTAAGTACATGAGCATGTCCAAATTCCTAAGACATATGAGCATCTTTAGAACCTCATATATGATTGAATGAATGTGTACTTTATAAAAATGTATGTAAATTTGAACAAGTAAAACATGTAATAGATTAAGGTTGCAGACAACCGTTAAGTGAGTTGTATGGTGCGATAAGTGAGTTTTGTTGCACCAAACTCACTTAGAGAGATTCATCTAGATAAGCGAGTTTCGATGCTTCTTCTACAGACTAACCCAACTCTCATGACTTGAGGAAATGCCATACTTTTCTGTAGAGTGTGGAATAAAATGGAGATAAAATTGAGCTTACATGTGAAAACAACTATAACTTTAATTGCTTTAAATTTGTTTGAGTACTTGTTCAAAAAATTTAACTATTTTTTTCTTAAGTTTTTTGTCCAAGATGGTTCAAATGATTGGGAAATGTAAAATGCAGATGAATCAAAGCTTATGATAAAGACAAACTCAAGAATTATGGCATGATAAAAGGTTTACTTTTTTAAATGTTTCATTCATATGATTAATATTGTAATTATCTTTAAATTAATAACATGATCATGAATTAGTTGCTTAATTCAAAGTTTGACTTACTGGTTTGGTGAAAACATGTCAATGTAAGTAAAAAATCATAAGCCTAAACCAACTGAGATGAGTGCATACCTTATATTTTACATAAATGAATGAGAGTATACATGAATTCTAAGCATGTTAATTTTGCATCATTCTTACTATTACTTAATTTATATAATGTCATGGATATGGTCAATGAATTGTTTGATTTTGAGTGAAAAAATTACTTGACCAAAAAACCTACCATGAGGTGTGATCCTTTAACAACCCCTTTGAGCCTAAACATGAAAAATAATGTTCATAACTTGTCTTAAAGATAGGATAGCATTCGAATTTTAAGAGTTTGCAAAGGTTATAAAGTTGGGTAGAAAGGAAATTTTTGAAAAAACTATGTAGTAAAAGGTGAAAAAAGTGTTATTTGATCATCAAAAAGAAAAAAAATTAAAGTAAAAAAAATTAAAGCTTTCATAAAAAGAAATCACCAAGAAAAGATGATGTAAGATGGAAAAGAAAAAGAGATCTTTTTAAAAAACAAAAAGAAAACGTCAATATTTCTCTCTTATCTTCTAGGCACATTGGATCCCAAAAAAACCAAGATTCTTGTAGACCATCCATGCCACAACAATAAAAAAAGATCTTGGTGATTCATGACTAATTATGTAACTTATTATATTGCTTAGATAAAGTGAAAAATATTTGTATAGTTGATGCATTATCAGATAATTGAGGGAAACACAAATACATTGAGTGAGTGATACAAGGTGAGATGATGATTTTGATAAATAATTGACTATTGATCTGGACATGTTTTAAAATCATACTTTTATAAAAAGGATATTTCATTTTCACGCCATGTTTATGGATGCTTATAATGTTGATTATGAACATGCATTTGAAGAAAATGTAAGAACAAGATTTGGTTTTACATCTGACCTTTAGTTTTAATGATATCAATATATTCTTTGTTAGAGAACAATTTTGCACCCTAATGGTTATGTCTAGTGTGTAGCTTTTGCTAACAGGTTCTGACTTTAATATAATGGCATGTGACGTCATCAGTTTCTAGAATCAACACACTGACTCTAGAGAGATACAAAGTACGTATTACAAGATTTTATCAAGTTCTAGAATTCTTCTAAACAACAGTTATGATGAACGTTAGTCTAGAGCTTCTGTTTATGAATTTGATGGAAGAGCTTCTGAGGACTTCTCAAGCTTCTAGGTTCTGAAGAACAAGTTCTGAAGATTTTGAAGACAAAGTTCTGCTGAACAAGTTCTGAAGACTCTGAAGACAAGGTTTTGAAGACTTTGCGCTCTCAAGATATGAGGTTATGAAGACCAAATTTTGAAGATTCTGAAATATGGACTTTGTCATGACATTTTATGGAGTCTCAAGGCCTGGTTCTTGTTGCTTTAGCTTCAGGAGATGGCACAGAGGCTAAAGGAAGCAAGAAATGATGTTGAAAAGCTTAGAATTGAATCACAATCTCTGTAATTTTGAGAGAAAATTCTGAATTTGAGCAGAGGATTTGGGGCCTTTCTAAGCTTGATAATGAGGGAAAATGAGAGCTCTATATATAACTAAGGTGAGGGATTCTAATAGGTGTGACAATTTGTTACTAATCGTGTGATTCCAAGTGCACCAAATACATGACCATTCTTGAGTACAAAGTCACCAAAAACGCAGCTCAAACCTTCCAATTTTAGGTCTTTTTTTATCACTACTCATCACTTAACATCATCAGATGTATACCACGTGCAAACTTTGGGTCAATTTAGAGAATTTGTGAATTTGCAATTTCGGTTTCATGAGCAAAATTTAGTTTCATAGAGCCATATTCAAACCATTGTGAAATCCTGTGTAGTTGACCTTTACTTCTAATTCTTTTTATAAAATGATCCTTTCATGACATAGAGTGTAATTAAAAAAGAAAGGATCCATTTGGACAAGTGAGCTGAAAGTGATGTCCTTGTAAAGTTGGCTCCATGACTTATAATTAGAGGTACAAAATTTCTAAGTCCAAAATTACCTATAATGTCTCTAAATTTTGGATGATCTTATGAGCATAATTGACCTTTGACTTATAAAGATAAGTTGTAGAGGATGTCAAGAGGAGTCATTTTCCTAAAGAACCACTCAAAAATGTTAAAAATGAGTGAGTTATGATATTTTGAAGTTGAACTTGAAAAATTTACTTTTTAGGTCAAACCACTTTGTACAATCTTGAATCTTTGGACTTTTCTTGCATTTTAAGGCACATTGATGATCCCATAAACCTGTCGAAATATCTTGAGAAACAAGCAACTAAACTTTGAGCTATCCTTGATCAAATGATGTTGAATGATGCTTGAGAAGAGTGTGACCTGATATTATAGGTCATGCTTTAATGATGAGCCTTTGAGAATCAATGGTTAACCACACTTTTGACTTGAACAACTCAAAATCTTAATTAATGAAACATCACTTGATCTTCTTGATTCAAAATCCTATTTTGCAAAAGAAACAAAAATAACAAGACATATATTTGTATTTGTTAGTTTTCGTGAAACATAAAACATATAAGTACCAAGGTAAAAGATACAGAAATAGGTGCTTGATAATCTCCACAAAGACAAGCCCAAAGATGAGAGGGTTATGAAACAACTAAGTTTGTGATTTTGATGCAATACAAAGATGCAAATGAGATGAGATCTTAGGAGTAAAAATTAGGATATGACACACTTTAGCGGGTGGACTGGATTAATTTTGTTAACAGTGAACCAGGATAAAAATAAATGTGTTTATTTATTTTTGTTCTTGTTTCATCCTTATTTGTTTGGGAAGAAAAAGTTTTCATTTTTAGAAACCCAATTTAAATCCCAATTTCTTGTGTTTCCTGTACCTTCAGAAAAATCATGCCATACCTTAAAGTGATTTCAAAAAATTCTTGATCAAGTCTTGAGACCTTTCATGAACATTGCATAGTTAAAATTTTCCTGAACCATTTGTAGTGATTTTGTTTGAGGACAAACAAAAAGATAAATTGGGGAGAGTCGACAAGTGCAAAAATAAATAAAATACCTAGGCACTTATCGACTTATTTTACAAGCAATCAATAACAAAACCTTCAATTTATCAAAAAAGCATGATAAAACTCCTCTAGAATTTTTTTAACTACGTATTCTAAAAGAGTAACTCAAAATGGTGACTCAGAATGGTGTGACGATAAAGTATAAAAGAAGAAGTACAATATGTGCTCGAGAGAGTTAAAACTTAATTAAAATTTTAGTTAAAGTTGTTGAGATAGCTAAATTACTTGTTATACAAGTAACTAGCTAATTGGATTGGTTATAAATGTTTGAGGCTCATTAGTATTCATAAGCTCAATTTATATATGGTATAAATAAGCATATTTTAATCATGAATGATAGAAGTAAAGGACCAATTGAACCCCATTGAATCCTACAATTTTAATGACCAATTTGAGTAGTCACCCTATTTACTTTTTGGAAAAGTTAAAACTTTGGTATTCACTATTGTTCCCAGCAAGTTAATTAACCTGCTACTTCCCTATCTGATACCAACAGTTTGATGATCTTGTTAAAATAAATCACCATGGAAAATTCCTTGATTATATTCATTAACATGTGCAAGAAATCTTACAAGGGCTAATTAAGCATCTATTTTGAGTAGCATCACTTTCCATTTTCTCCATATCTTGGTGTTAACCATACGTAACATGCATGACATGTTTTATTTTCTCTTTAAAAAGAACAAAAGTCAAGAAAAGAAAATATTCCTTTATATCTTTACACCCTTAAAAAATTCTAAAGGAATTTATTCTATATGTTTTATATCACAATAGCTTCTCTTTCACTATAAGAAGAAAGACCAAAAACACAAATCTCTATACCAAAAGCTTCACAAGTTTTTCTTAGAGAAAATAATGGCTAGTTCTAACAAGAAACTTGAAGTGAGTTTTGATGATCAAATTCCAAATAAATGGTGTGTTTCATTAGGAGAAGAAACTTTCAAAAGATTCTTTAGTAGCTTGAGTAGTAATCCAACAGTTTACAAGGTTTTTGGCGACGGATCGCTTTTTAGTCCAATGTTGTTTGGAAAATTCTTTGATCCTTGTGATGCATTTCCTCTATGGGAGTTTGAATCAGATGTTTTGTTATCTCATCTAAGAAGCTTCAACCAAATCACTGTCGATTGGCGTCATACCGATGAAGGGTATGTGTTAAAAGCTGAAATACCAGGTAAGAAAAATTTGAATTCGTTTATTTTTGGTGTTTTCTGTTTTTGTTTTTACGACTTTAAGAGATTTAAAAATTGAAATTGAAATAATCATCTATGTGCTCGTAATCGCCACATGAATGAAACTCAGGTAGTCGAGTAAGGCGAAATACTACATAGTCTCATAAAATATTTACTAGGGTTAAACCATAACAAAATAAAATATCTATTTAATTTGTCTCACTTCAATAACAGTTAACTTCCACAGGAAATTGTAGTTAAATCATGACTAATTTTTCTATACCTAACAATTTTTATCAAGATCCCGATTAGATATCCAAGTCCTATATCGATAAGTATGACATGTTTTCCAAAAGTATCTTAGCTCTTCTCCCTTGATAGCTAGTTTTCAAGGGAGGATTCCTCAAGTGCTTAGAAAGGTATCACCTTTCACGTCATAAAAACGCGAGCATGAAATTAGTCTCCCGATTATTAAAATTCTTTTTAGACTAGTCTTTATATAGAATAAAATTTGCACATTAATCCCTTTTTTTAAAAAGTTTTCCAAATTAATCCTTATAATTTTGCTTTCGTCTAAACACACTCTTAGAGTCAAGTAATTACATAAAGTGCTTAATTAGTGAAAATTTCTGTAACACCAGTGATTTGTCAAAACAGGAAGTGGAAAAAACAACATTCAAGTCCATGTTGATAAAGGAAAGGTGATGGAAATTTGTGGACAATGGAAACATCAAAGAGACTCAAAGACAAACGATTGGAAGTGCAGCCATTGGTGGGAAAATGGATATGTAAGAAGGCTTGAGATCCCAGAGGATGCAGATTGGAAGAATGTAGTAGCATTCATACACAATGACATATTTTTAGAAATTCAAATACCAAAAATCCAAAAGGTTACATTTAATTAATAAGAGTGTAACTTATGGTTAGGTTGGTCCCATTTTATTAATGTTGCAATGGATGTCACGTGAACAAGTGTTTAGAGATAGTGAAAATAAGTAAAATAATTGAAGTGGGTGATTCTGATTCTTAAAGTTCAGTAACGTATTAGGCAAGAATAGTGAATTTTTTGTACATTTTTCGGATGAAATTAATGTTTGGGTAACTAGGTGGTTGTAAATATTTAAAAATGAGTTATTATTATGTTTTCTTATAAAAATAAAAGGACATCTCAATTAAATTGGCACACCAAAGATATACTACCTAAGAACCACCATAATAAAATATATTAATAAAAGTAAAATAAAAAAGATACAAAAGAATTTTTGGGGACTAAAGCAAAATCTAAAGTATGAGGACTTCTATCAACAACAAATATTCTGAACTTATCCTTCACATTTGAAAATTTTCTTTTAGTTGCTTCCCAAATAGAAGAGTGAATGTGGTACTGAATAAAACATGTTTTCCTAATGACTTTAGATCTAAGAAAACAAGCACATTGGTTTGGGAATTAACGAGCTCTCATCTAAGATTAATCATTGTTGCTTCATTGATTTCTACGAGGAACCTAATTCCAAAACCTCCTTTAAAAGCTGCAGTACAAACCTTACGCCAAGTTAAAATGATATTTTTGCTGTAATTAATTTTGCATGCCCATATGAAATTCCTTAGCCAATTAATAATGGTAATTTAAATCAAAGTCAAAATCTTTCAACAGCTCAAGTCATTTTCTCTGTCTCATGTTCAATTTCTTCTGATTGAATAAGTATTTCAGATTCTTGTGATCGCTGAACACTTCAAATTTAGAGTCAAAAAGATAATGTCTCCAAATCTTCAACACAAACACCACAACTGCTAACTCTAAGCCATGCGTAGGATAGTTCCTTTCATGAAGTTTAAGTTTCCTAAAAGCGTAAGCAACAACCTATCCATTTTGCATCAGCACACCACCAAGATCCATCTTAGACGCGTCACAATACACCATAAAAAATTCATTCAGATTAGGCAAAATTAATATCGGAGCAGTCGTAAATTTCTTCTTCAATTCTATGAAACTTTCTTCACATGCAACATCTCACACATAAGCTTGACTCTTTCGAGTCAACTGAGTTAACGATAACTCCAACCTAGAAACTCCTTCAATGAACCTTGAATAATAATCCGGCAAATCAAGAAAACTTTGAATCTCAGTCGCAGACTTTGGAGTTTCCCATTGCAACACTGCATCAACTTTAGAAGGATCCACAATAATCCCATCACTAGAAATCACATGATCAAGGAAACTCACTTCCTTAAACCGAAACTCATATTTCGACAACTTTGCATACAACTTCTTTTCTTTCAACACTTGCAACACAATTTGCAAATGATCCGCATGTTCTCCTTCTGATTTAGAATAGATCAGAATATCATCAATAAAAACCACAACAAACTTATCCAAATACGAATGAAATGTTCGATTCATATACTCCATGAAAATACACGGTGCATTAGATACACCAAACAATATCCAAGTGTACTCATAATGATCATACGTTGTTCGAAAAGCCGTCTTCAGAATATCATTCGATTTAACACGAATCTGAAGATAACCCGGCCTCAAATCAATCTTGCTGAAAACACAAGCACCCACCAACTGATCCATCAAATCACCAATCCACAGGAGTGGATACTTATTTTTAATAGTCATTTTACTCAACTGTTTGTAGTCTACACTAAAATTATGGTATTCATATCACAAATATCCTAAGAGATGTCGAGACACTGTCATCTGACTTCAACACAATAAACAGATAAACATAATTAACAATGAAGTAAGTAAACAACACGCAGAATCGTTAATCCAGTTCGGTGTACAACAACGCCTACTTTGGAGCTACCATGCTAGGAAGGAAATCCACTAATAGTATCAATTCAAAGCTAAACTCCCTCATTTACAATTTCTCACTTAATCACTACTCGTGGTATATTTCTACCTAAGACTCTCCTAAGTATGAGACCCATCTCACTTCCCTGACATTCACAACCACAACTCAAAAGAATTAGAAAATAAACTTCACAAACACATGATTACTCTATACTTATAAGTTTAAGAGTGATTGACAACTAAGAAGTAGAAACACTTCAAAAACCAGAATTCACTCTTGCTTAAAAGCTTATGAATGATTCACAATTACAACTCAACTAATAATCTAACTAAAGTAACAAATAATACAAGAGTGACTCACAATTAACACAGTTCGACTCTACTCTAGAGTGGATCACAAAGAACAGATGAGACCCTAATAATTGACACTTTTACAGCTCCAGCTCGTACTTGTTTTAGGTTAATAATCTTCTATTTATAACTTTTCTCTGGACTAGATTTGGGCCTCAAAAACTCAACAAATCAGTTGCTAAAACTTTGCTGAATCTTCTGCATAAAAATAGGTCTTCAATTATAAATTTTCTAAAATGTCTCCAAAATTAGAAAGTAAGTATTCTTCTTGAATTCAACTTGAATCTTCCAGACCTTAAAATCAGCGCCACATAAGGGAGCATAATATTCCTAGAATATTCTACATCTATTAAAACTTAAGCCAGTCCAACTGCCCAGCCCAACAAAGTCAAGATGTCGAGTGACTCTATATAGGACATGTTGTCTGACATATTGTTTCAGTTGATGAAACATCTCAACTCAACATGTTTCTTCTCAGCAGGTTAGAACATCCTTTTTAACATGTTATTTCCATATTTGTTATACTAAAATTAATGCCAATCGTAAAATCAGAGAACTAACAATCTTCCCATTTGGATAATTTTGACTAAAACAAATTACAAAATTACAACTCAAATTACATCAATAAAAAAATCAGAGTTAGTCTTAAGAAGCTACTAAGCACGCCAACATGTCCTCAGTCTAATTGATACCGCAATATCATGTTTGACATATTCTTCACAACAACTCCTTCAACACCATAGAACGACAACCTCAAGATAAAAGGAGTAGAAAGTCCTAAAGTCATTTAGTATACATGAGGAAGAGGATATCTGACACTTGAAGATATTTGACACTCTCCCTTAACCCAATAGGATTTTCTTGTAACAATGACATAAATCTTCCTCTAAAGGGCATAAGAAAACCTTTAAGAGGCAACCAAACACCAACTTGATTTATTCAAGTAATGATTCAGGGGTGCATCCTGCAAGTCAGAGTAACTCAGAGCACAAGACACAAGCGTGTTCATAACTCAGAAAACAAGACACAAAAAAAAAAGCTTAGAATCAAACATCCTGTTCGACATCTTTGTGAATGAGTTGTAGGAGCAGACCCAAACTTAAAAGAACAGAACCAGAGACAAAACCAAAAACATTTCTCCCACTTTTTAGCCAAAATTTGACAAGAACATCCAATGCAAAACCAAACCCAAACTGTACTCACCCAAACCCGGACAAAAGCCATAAGAGCTATGTTAGACATGATCTCCTTAAATACCTGAGCAATATCTTAGGAATTAACGATCCTCGACTGTTCCAATGGTCTTGGTCAAAGAGACTGTTATTTGAGGAAGATAGTTGCACCAAAAATTAAGTGTGCACCGTCCAAGTCAGTTTTGAGCTCCTTTATTGACTCTGGACAGATTCACCCTGGAATTGATAGTTCCAATAAATGTGCATGCATAGTAAGAAACGTGTTTCATAATTCCACTTGACATGTATTTGATTACATAGTCTATAATACTCCCATGTTGGACTTAGAATAAACAAGTCTTGAATAATGTCCTGACATCCAGTCAGACGTTGTCTACTTTTTCTTGAAAAGAATCAAAATTTCTTCTGAAAATAGTAAATGTTATTTCATAGTGTTATCCCGTAGTCAGTTATAGACGCACATGCACTGAAGCATAATCACAATACCTTCCATTGGACTCTAATTATACTCCTTTCAGTTAGAAGAAGTGAAGCACACCAAGATGTCAAGACATCATGTGGGTCATTTCTCATTCATTAACCAACACATCCATTGAGCCCCACCTGAATTCTGTTAAGAGCACCAAGAACTACCTCTAGTATCCCTATGTCACAAAATATTTTTTGATGTCATAACCTTACAAGAGGTGTATAATCCCCACAAGTTTGAGCAACACATAAATTTCATAAGGTCTGCACCATTGTAGCAACAACATATTAACAATCATTCAACTCCCCCTGACATGGATAAACAGTGATCCTGTTGAGAATGAAAACTTGAGCGCAAGTTGAAATCACAAGAAGTAATTCACATTCTCATAGTAAAAAAAGTTATAACTTCACACACTTGCTGGACACATTCATACATTGTAAGTTCAGTCATATTCCCGGTACTCTAGTTCCTTGAGATAATATCCAAGCATCCTGACTTATACACATGTCTGATAAAAGGCCTTACATATCTACACAAGGTATCATGATCCTTGTTTATACAAGTAGTCATGCGCACTTGGTTTGACATTCCTCACATGATCTAAAGACCATCAATTTGCTTGCTTCACAAGAGCCAGACTTGCACAATTTTTTTCTAGAGTTACTTGTAGCAGAAGAAGCCACCTCCTCAAAAGCATTTTGATCACTATCTGACACCATTCTTGTGTCCTTACTAGAAATTGCTGAATAGTAATCATGCATATACAACCCATACTACTATAGACAAGACCATAGTCTTCACATTCTAATTCACAAGATCATAACTGCCTCTGTTGAGGAACAAACTCCACATCCATAATCCAAAGCACCTTCCAGAGACAACCATTAACAACATGATATCATCTTCTTGTCACTAACAAAAGGACTTATTATGTTTCAGAGTACCATGAAGAGAGATAAACTCTCATACACTTTTTGGAAAATAGTGTTCAGATTACAAATTTGCATTAACACATTAGGAAAATACACCGCTCCCGTCAAGGTATTTTCCATCAGTCTCATCCACACCTTCACCAGAGGAACATTT